ATATATATATATTAATCTATATTGTGGATGTCCAAAATTGGGTGTAAACAATGTCTTTCCCTTCACAAAGGACAATTCACATATCTTTCGTCTTTAAATTGCTGTCCCAGGTTTCCCTACATATGGCTGATGGTCAAAGCAAGAGCTTCTTTTATCCGTTTAGCGGGGTCACTGATGAACTGAAAGCATTTCTATCAGATGTATCGACGGCTAACCTGAAGGTAACATTCTTCCTGAAGTTCTCATTTCCTTTTTTTTTTAGTGACCTACAAATTATTAGTCGGATAGATTTCTGCTTCTCGAAGGGTACATATATTTTAGGCATAATACATAACCAAACACTCAAACTTGGCCTCAACTGGCAAGTAAACACTCCCACTTTGAGTATGCACATCTAGACACCTCACGTTCTGTTTGCCCATTTGTCTACGTAAATGAACAGTCATTTCCCCCATTCCTATTGTCCTTTTTACTCTTTCTAAAAGTCCTATGTTTTTGTATAATATTGGTCCGAAATGAGCTTAAGTGGAATGACAGAGTCGTGGATGATTCATATAGTCGATCCTAACTTGATTCAATCAGAGGTGGCATAATAGTAGTAATAGTACCGTTGTTGTTGCAGTGTTAACCTGATATTCTAGATCATTGATCTTTTGCTTTCATTCGCGCTATATTGAGCGTCTTTTTTTCATGCAGAAGGACCATAGCTCCCACATCGATCCTCGTCTCTCATTTGCTGAAGGTGCTCGTGATGTTGCTGTTTTGGACGCGATGCTCGAATCAGGAAAGAGACAAGGAGCTCTAGTTCAAGTAAAAAAGTTCTAATTTTACGCAGGCCTTATGCTCCTTAAATATGTCATGCACATGATTCTTGATCTTCGTACCATGAAGCGAATATGCTACTGGAAAAAAAGGATTCATAATCTGAGGCTGCATAATGAAAAGAAGAAGGATCGATCGAAGATCACTGTCTCTCTTCTGTGAGCTACATCTTGGTTTCATCATCTTGTTGTCTATAAACTCGACTAGTAGTTTACCGGATAAATTGATTTGTCGGGCGTTCCTGGCCCACCTAGCGAAACATGTGGTTTCGTGGTTATGACCAGCTAAGGCTAAAGTTCCATTAAAGGGAGTTTTGATTCCTTGGTTAGAGCCATTGTACTCTTTTTGACCTTATTTTAGCATCTTTGGTAGTTGAATGATCAGTAATATCATTTAAACTCTCAATATGCTCGATTAATTTAGATATTAACAGTCTACTAACACCAGAAAAACAATCATTATCGAGTAACCATTCTGTTAATTCAAACATAATTTCCTGTCTACCCAAAACTCCTAAAGTATTAGTGCAATTTAAAAGTATAGGACTACTATCTATCACTATTTCGAACAAAATTTTTACATCTTGCAAAGTTATGGTAGCCTTAAGGGTTCGCATGTGAAAGATATGCGTTTCTAGACGCTACCTTTCAATTAAAGCTGAAATTAGTCCGAAGTCATACAACATATATCCAACATCAATAATTCCTATAAACTTACAACTTTCAAAATACTAATGAATGCGAAGATGTAATTGACGATATTTTATATGTTGCCAAAATTCAAGATGCATGTGACTTGTAAGTTTTGTTTTTATATGGCATGTGAATTTAAAGTGCAGGCTACAGTTACAATTAAAAAAAAAAGGATTTTTTTAGCAAATCACTGCTCAAGCAGCGATTATTATAAAATAAAATAAAATTGGGGATATTGCTGCCCCAGCAGCAAATTTTATTTTTTTTTCTTTTTTGGGGAAATCCCGGCCCCAGAAGCGATTTGCAGTTTTCTTTTTTTTTTTTTGGAAATCGCTGCCCCTGCAACGATTTTAATTTTTTTTAAAAATTCCCTTGATGGGTAGTGATTATAATTAAAAAAATTTGCAGCGATTTTCTTAAGGAAATTTTATTTTTTGACAGTGTTAACGGAGGTTAAAAATGAACAAAGATATCACTGATGGAGTAGCGATTTGTCCGTTTTGGTACTACAAAATACAGTGGCCCTTTATACATTTTGGAAGAAAAAAGTGACTTTTTTGACTCCGGACTCTGAATAATTGTTTGTAGAGAAATCGAAGTCTTATTACATTATCGCGGAGGGTTGTGGTGAGATATATGGATATGATTTCTCCATTCTCTGGTGTATAGAAAAAATCTTGAAAGGAAGCGCTTCCCCAGTAATGAGTCTTACACAATACAAATTTAGAGTAATCGGGCCCCTAAACACCAGATGCAAAACAAAAAAAAACACAACCTTATTGCATGAACGAATAAAGGAAAACCAAAAAAAAGATTTCTTGTCAGAAGAAAATAAATAAAAGAGAGTAATTGTTCTGAATTCCTCTATCCTTGACCAGAGGTCTTGAATTCAAGTCTCTGGAAAATGAAACTATCTTAGGTTCAAGCCAAAGGAATGTTTAATTTTAATTAAGAGCATCGCCTCAGGAAATAAGCTCCGCAATACACAAATTTGAATTTAGACGAGCATTTGATATGAGTACCGAACATCGATGGAAATAAAAAAAAAGAGTAGATAGGAAGAAAATGACTTGTATTTTAAACCAACCGCACCTAAGACCTAACTTATAGAGAAACTTATAGACAATTTTCTTACCAAGACCAATTGAAGATTATTTATTGACAAATGAACAAATAGCACGTTACTTATTGAGTCAAGTAGATGATTTTGGACCCATTTTGAAAGCAATCTCTTATATTAATTTTTTTTTTTTGGGGTTGAAAATTGAAAGCTTGGACCAATTGAATTCCTTCTTGAAAATAAAATAAAATTTCAGTTTGGATATATTTTTTGTGTGGGTAGAAAAGATAGATAAGAAATAGAGAAAAAAAAAAGTTGTTAGGAACAAGAGGATTCTTGTTTTAGACTCAAATTCTTTATAGAGTGAAAGGTAAAAATTATCTCTAAAAGTAATTTGATTTTTTGAGTTTTATATCTGAATTATCGTGTGTGAGTTTTCTACTTACACTATAATCAAAGTTCAAATGTTTATCGAAACACACCTCAACTATCTATCATTTATTTCTCCTACTTAGAATATCGTCATCATCATTCAGGTAGGAAAAGGGAACAATTGATAGTTGAGGTGTGTTTCGATAAATATTTGATGATAGTTCAGGTAGAAAACTCTCACATCTGATAGTTTAAGTATGAAGCTCGAAAAATTAAAATACTTTAGATGTGTTTTTGAGCATTCACTCTTCTTTTTATAGTCTAACTTCCCAATGTACATGAAGTAATTTTCCTAAGGAATCTCTTTAATCACACGAGAGATAATGGTGAAAGACACATCTAAACTATTTTATTTTATTTTTTGTGAGTTTCACACTCCAATTATTAACTGTGCTATTATCTTTTTAAAAAAGAACAATTGAAATTGATGTGTGAAACTCGCGAAAAGTGATACTTTAGCTGTTTTTTTTTTACCATTGACTCAAAAAAATGTTATATGTATACCTAATCAACTAATAATATCTTTATTATTGTAGCATGTGTTAACATCATTTTAGTCCAATTTTAATGTTGCCTACATCATTGAATAAGATGGTGACTTTTAAACATAATTTAAACCTTCTTTCATGTAATTTTTCCAATATCAACATAAACATACCCATTTAATTTATAATCATATTCAATGTATGTTAGTTTAAACCTATTATTTCTAAATAATTTGTCATTTTTATCCTAGATTAAAGAAACAAGAGAAAATATTACTACTAGGAAAAAAAAAAATCTTTTCATCGAAATTATACTCGTCATAATTGTTTCTGACAGATTTTCTATTAAAATTTCTAGATTTTTCGATGAATTTCTGTTAGATACCATCTAAGTTTACACATTAAAAAAAAAGTAATCTTTGATTGACAATTTTCGAAGAGTCTACCAATGTCTTTTTCATCAATCTCATCATTGTTTCTTGATAAATGGTTACATTTTCATACTCGTTGGATAATAGACACACTACTCTACTCTTAATTCACTAAAAGGCCTTTATATATCAAACTTGATTTATTAGTAAAATTCAAATCCATTATATGTCTTCATCGCGATACAAATTAAATATGCAAATCACTTTGAAAATATGTTATGAACCAGTTGAAACACTCAAAACACTGATCCAAAGCCACCAATCAAATTTTTTTTCTCAAATAGGACATGTGATATATGCAAAATATTAAGGATCAAAGTTAGTTTTTTTTTATGTATCTTTTAAAGATCACATGAACAATACAAATCCAGGACTTATTCTACAACAAATAGTTTATGTACATTTTTTAATTTACATATCAACCCCAAAACTTTTGTTAATTACACATTTGTCCATATAAATTTAAAATTTATACTGTACTTCTCTTAGTTATAACTACCCAAAACAACTCACTTTTGTTTTCTTCAACTGCCTCTTGAAGTAAGTTATCATTTCTTCAATTTTCTTCTTTTCCTATAATCACTAAAAATTTGTGGAAAAAAATCAATTTTTTTTTAAAAAATCTTTGTTATTATTTTTCTTCCATTTTCTGAACTCTATGCAATTGTTGGTTTTCAAGAAATTTGAAAAAAATGGTATATGGTTTTTGTTACTATGACAAACTTTTATTTTCTTATAATAATGAAATAAAACAATTTTTTTTTAGCATTGTTAGGTTTTTTTCCTCTGTTTTTAAGAAGAAGAAAAATATTATAGTTCTTGATTGTTTTATTTCCATTTTTTTTTTTGCAGATTTTTGATCAATTTTCTATCTAGTAATCATTGAAGCAATTTGATCTTGAAAAGGTATTTTGATAATATAGTAGCATTGCTATTTTTGATCACCTCGTATGTTTTGTATTTTCTCTATAATTCTTTAAATTCTTCTTATGGTACTAGTTTCTTGTGCTTCAGTTATCGCATTATTTTGTCGTTGTTAAATGCTATATAATGTTTTCCCTATCCTTTGCTTTTGTATTTTCTTTTTTTCAAACTGCTTTGATATGCATTACTTGAGGGTCTGACGGAATTACAAACTATCTATCTTCATGAGGTAGGGGTAAAGTCTGTACACGTTACTGTCTTTCCACTTCTAGGGTTTCACTGGATATGTTGTTGTTGTTGTTCTTATCATACTTTTGTTTGATCAATATTTGATAGCTTTCATTTGTATCTCCAAAAATTTGTCCTACTAAAATTCTTTTTTAGTTGTTCTTGTGGTACCTAAGTTTTGTGTTATAGAAAAATTTGTTAACTTATAGCTATTGAGCCTCAAAGTTTATGTCTTTATGTGATCGCAGAGTCAAAAAGATGTCTCGAGGTTCTATATCATCATAATAGGTGTAGATGGGGTGATCAGAGTAGTTATTTCTCGCTTGATGTCTCGACGAAACCTATAGAAGGTGAGCCCCGAAGCAAGAGGGGAAACGAAACGGGGAGCTAATATTCCTATAGGAAAAAGATAAAAGTTGATCATAAGAAGGGAAAAATGCAGAAAGGTTCAATACATGAAGAGTTTGCTTTAAAGCAAACAGCTCCGAAAATTGTTGGATCAGGGGTGATGATAGGAGGAGATAAGGTAACCGTTGCCTATGACCTCGTCGAGCAAATGGAATACCTCTATGTTCGTGTTGTCAAGGCTAAAGAGTTAACAAAGGATGTTACAGGGAGCTGTGATCCTTATGTTGAAGTAAAAGTTGGGAACTACAAGGGCATCACGAAGCATTTCGAGAAGAAAATCAACCCTGAATGGAATTATGTGTTCGCGTTCTCTCAGGATAGGCTTCAAGCTTCTTACATTGAAGTATGTGTGAAAGATAAGGATGTTGTGTTGGATGATATGATAGGAAGAGTCGTGTTTGATCTCGTTGATGTACCGAGAAGAGTTCCACCGGATAGTTCATTAGCCCCACAATGGTATAGGTTAGAGGATAAAAGAGGTGAAAAGTTGAAAAAAGGGGAAATCATGCTTGCTGTTTGGAGAGGAACTCAAGCAGACGAGGCGTTTTGTGATGCGTGGCATTCGGATGCAGCAGCTGTGGGAAGTGAGGGGATTTCAAGAATTAGAGGAAAGGTATATCTTTCTCCTAGACTTTGGTATATCAGAGTTAATGTCATTGAATGTCAAGATTTGCTTCCAAGTGAAAAGAATCGACAACCCGAGTGCTGTGTGAAGGTTATGTGTGGGAATCAGGTCTTGAAAACG